CCGAGCAGGAAGGCTGCAGCTCCAAAAGGTCAGCAGGGTCTGCAACATCTGGAACAATCTGGATGTTTGTGTAGGAACAGAGGGGATGGAGGAGACTCTTAGGCACCCAGACTGGGGTTCAGGTGAGCCCAGAGAGATGGTGTCAGTGTGTGAGACCTGTTGTGGGGTCCAAGTGAAGCCCAGGGAGAGGTGCTCATTGCACAAGACCTGTTGAGGGGGCCGAGAGAGCAGACCCTTGAGTGAGTGTGGGCATGGAAAAGCAGCCCCCAGAAAGTAGTCAAACCCCAGGGAAGGGCAAGTCTGTGGTGCCCTAAAACTCCAGCCCCTGCTGCCTCGTTGGTCACCCCTTCACAGGGAATGGCTAGGGGAACTGACCCCAATATAAAAGCAAGAGCAGAACCAAATGGTCCAGAGGCCCAGCCAGGAGCCAGAAAAGACCAGGACCAGAAGGGTTCACAGGCTCAGTGGAGCCTAGAGATAGAACAACACGAGACGGGTCCAGTGACCCAGCAAGAGGCAGGGAAAGATTGGGATTGGAAGGGTCCTAGCAGCTTAGTGAGGGGATGGGTATATAGAGGGTCCAGGGGCCCAGAGAAGGGTCAAAGGAGAGCCCAGAGGGTCTGGCAGACTAAAGAGGGGTCAAGAGTGAGACTGAGAGGTATGACAGCCTAGAGAGGGGCAGACTGGGAGGCCAAGAGGTCTGGAGACCCAGGAAGGCACCAAATAATGGACCAAGTGGTCTGGCAGTCTTCAGGGAAGTTGAGCGATGGGCCAAGGGGTCCGACAGCCCAGACAGTGGCTAAATGAGGGACGGAGAGGCCTAGAGACTCCATTGGGGCTGTGTGAAGGACCGAGGTAACTGAGGGCATGCAGGAGAGCTGCATGAGTGTAGGCGTGTGATGAGAATTTCCACAATGATGCCATCTGTGAGACTTGGGGTGTGGTATAGGGGCAGTACGGAGCCACACATTTGGCCCATTATGCCTTCACCACAGTCACAACGTGATCATTAGAACAAGACAAGGTCTGGATGGAGTGAACTGAGAAATACCTCACACCCCATCCTCTGGGAGTGTTGTGACCCCACAGCCCCTCATAGGGCTGGTGCCTGATTACCCCTTGCAGCTGAGTACTGGGACATACCAGGTTGCTGGGGGCCAGGTCAGAAAGACAGATGGACACCTCCTGAAGACTGGGCCCTCCCTTAAGGATCATGGGAGCCCCTTCCAGCCTGACACAGCCCTGATGTTGGTGATCCCATGGTTCCAAGTGAAATTGGGGCTGGGCACTGATTCCAGAATGACTCTGGAGTGACTCTATGTCCCCAGAAGCAGCTGTCCCACTCAACACTGTCTGCTCTCTCTGGTCTCTGCCATGACAGTCTCTTGACCTTCTTTTTCCAGATACCCAGCTCTCAGGACTTCTGGTCACAGCTGTGATCTCTCTCTCCCCAGCTCTGTGTCCAGTTCACACCAGGGCTGGGCCGGGGCTTGTGTGATGCAATGCCCAGTCAACGCTTCCTCTGTGCCATGGCTCCCCAGCCTCTAGGTGCACACACAGGGCCTGTGTTGTGGTGTCTCCTCCTAGCCACACTGGTCTCTGGGGATCCTTCCTGCAGGAGGTGTCCAGGTAAGACATAGGGTCAAGAGGGAACCATACCTTTCCCTAAGACTCCCTACCCTGTGGCTGAGCAGTGTCTTATGGGTATAACTTTGCCTTCTTAAGATGGAGCATGAGCTCAAGACCTTCAATGCCATCCTCTGTCCCTTCAGGTAAAGAGTCATCCCCACTTTCTGGGAGCAATAGAAGTATGTTATATTTTCTATAAGCCACACCCACTGCATGGGTGCACATCATGGGGCTGTCATGCCAAGGTGGGCCCTGGATCCCCTCTCCTGGCTGCCCTTCACAGAGGTTTGTGACCCTGTGAGTACCTTGGAACTGGGCCTTGATCTCAGACCCAATAGACTTATGGTTTTAGAGCCCCATGGGGTGAGTGCAATCTCCTCCAGCAGCTGGAGCTCTTCCCTACTCTGTGTATATTTGGAATCAGATCTTTTCCCTTGGGGGGACCTCATGACAACAGGACCCATTTCCTCCCAGGACTAGGTCCCTGACAGTTGGAAAGCTGGTGAGCTGGTTGTTTGAGCATCAGAGGGAGGCTGGGCAGTGTTAAGGGGATATATGCACAGAACATTAGGTGCAAGAGGCTGTGTCCAGTGAGCACTCTCCATCCCAGTCAATGCCAGCACAGCAGGAGGCACTGCTAGATGAATGGAGTCCACCCTTTAAGCCAAAAGGACCTCACAAAGCATGATCTTTCCTACACAGACATGGGGTGTTCACAGAAACTGTGACCTTCCACTTTTAAGACCATGGGCCCGCAACACTAGAGGTGGAGGAGTGGCCCTCTTCCTGGAGGGTGGGAGAAAACTGTCACACCTACTGAAGACAGATGTGAGCCACATCCTTCTGTTCCAGAATTTGAACCCAAATCTTTGCCCACAGTCATGCCCACAGTCACCTCCAAGGAGGATTATTCTGCACTGGTCCGGTCCTGTAGGGAGCAGACCAGGAAAGCCAAGGCTGAAACTGAACTCCAGCTAGCTTTGAGCATCAAGGACAATAAGAAGTCCTTTTTCAGATATGTGGGGAGCCGGAGGAAAAGCAGGGGCAACATTGGACC